ATGTCAGAATACAACATGTCAGAATACAACATGTCAGAATACAACATTTCAGAAAACATGTCTGAAAGCATTATGTCAGAAAACAACATGTTAGAATACAACATGTCAAAAAACAACATGTCAGAATACAACATGTCAGAATACAACATTTCAGAAAACATGTCTGAAAGCAATATGTCAGAAAACAACATGTTAGAATACAACATGTCAAAAAACAACATGTCAGAAAACAACATGTCAAAACATGTCAGAAAACCATGTCAGAATACAACATGTCAGAAAACATTGTCAGAAATCAACATGTCAGAATACAACATGTCAGAAAACATCATGTCAGAAAACAACATGTCAGAATAAAACATGTCAGAATACAACATCAGAAAACAACATTTCAGAATACATCATGTCAGAAAACAACTTGTCCGAATACAACATGTCAGAAACCAACATGTCAGAAAACAACATGTCAGAATACAACATTTCAGAGTACATTGGTGCAAGTAGGATGAACCAGTACAAAAAAAGTACTTCACAGGCATCCACTCTGCATACGACACACACTACACAGGTTGTGTGACAGGTCATCGCACAGGCAGTGAGCAACACTGAGATGAACTGGATCATGATGGCAAGGTAGTGACACACATGATACAGACACACTGTGCAGCAGCAACAAACACACTATGTGACCCAGATGTGATCCAGCTCTGCAGAGCCTGCAGATAGAGAAGTCGTCCTGAGCCACAGCACAGTCTGGGATGGACGGCTCCAGCCATGACTCATTAAGGCAAAGACACAACACAACAGCTCTTTGTGTCTCGCAACAAATCTGTGTGCGCAGGTCACCCAGTCTATTCCTCAAAAACTGAACACCCACAAGCAGGACCGAGAGGAGGGGGGGGGGGGGGGTTTGCTGCATCTCTGGCGGGTCCTGCACAAAACACCAACTCACTTCCCTAACCAATTTTTCTTTTTACGCTACCAAAGTAAAGGACCCAGGGAAAAAGTCAGCCACAAAGTACTCTAAAGTCGGCCCAAAATTCTCACTCACTGACGATCGCAACTCCAAAAGTGCGTCCCGGTCATACCTGTAGCGTGAGAGTGCAGTGCAGCTGCAAAATCCCCCCCCCCCCCCCCCAAAAAAAAAAAAAAAAACAAGGAAGAAAAAAGAGTGAGCCGAAGTGGAGCTGTCATAAGTGCTGCCATACTGTGGTGCAAGTGACGTGGACGTCCTAACTAAACAAGGATCAGGGTCCAAGGCAACAACAATACAATTCAATACAAAACATGAATAAACAAGCAGTACACTGATGTCTCCTGTCACCGTGCAATTTATATGTTTTTCAAGTCAATTGTTTTTCTGGACTGAAATTTAACAGAATGCAAGTAAACCTTAATGTTTTGATGCAAGATATATGGGTAGGAATTACACTGAGAAGAGGAGTAGTATTTTATTGATTTATATTGGAAGTCCAAGATGGTGCAGTGTTACAGATCCTGGTGAGCGGAAAGAAGGGGGAGGCCAATGGTGGCCTTAGCCCCCATTGATTAATCTTTGGCCACCCCAATTGTTTGAGGTTACTGTTAAGGGTACTTTTAAGTGAGGTTACTTTTAAGCAATAAAACAACTAGAAAGTATAGTTTCCTTCAGTGATCAAGGTGGCTATCTTGCATTTTGATGTGGCCACCCAATTTTTGATGGTGGCCTTTCTTACTCCTAGGTGCAACCACACACAATCTGAAGTTGACACGTGGATTATTTTTTAAGTTATTTAGTTCACACAGTGGATGGACATGTATGGCCGCAGCCGTCTTGCATTTTGCTGTTATTCTGACCTGTAAACTGGTCCACCACTAGACACTTTGACTTACTATTGGAAGGATTTACAGAAGTGTTCAGCTGTTATGGCCACAATTTTTTGATTTTATGAAATTTTGAATAAATTCTGGTATTGCGTTCCTAGTTTTGGACACTTTATTACAAATAAAACAAAACTTGAGGAGATCTTTTAATAATTCATTTTAAATATTAAAATGTTTCATTGTTTAACTTTGAAAGCCAGTGACCCAAAAAGGAAGAAGCAGGTAAAGATAATGATGGATGGATGAATGGATGGATGGATGGATGAATGGATGGATGGATGGATGGATGGATGGATGGACGGACAGACAGACGGATGGATGGATGGATAGATGGATGGATGGATGGATGGATGGA